TAAATGATTAACAGCTTGCTTGGATAGAGCACACTATGTCTGTTAGAATGGCATGTAACTCCACGCCAAACAAGTTAGGACTTTTGAAACTGATATAACAACAAGATCATAGTGCTGTTTCGTCATGAGCAGGTGTTGTATGTTCATGACATGATAATTCCTATAAAAATAGAAGAGAGGTGATGACCAATCTTCAAGAATTGTCCCTCAGATATACTGAAATACTCTTCAATACTCTTCAAATCTGTCATTGCAACAAATGGACACTTGATACTAACACATTATCTGTAAAGTATACGTAATACTGACCTGTCGATGACTTGCTGTGGACCATGGCCATCTCTATGTGACCAAATACCCAGACTATTCAGAGACTTTACTCTTTGATGTCAACAGTCCAGCTCTATATTGTAGGTCAGTCTTTCTTCACCACTAACTAAAAAAACCATCTTCCATTTATTTGTTTTAAAAGTAAGCTTTCCTGTAAAGATGGGAGAATAGCACTGAACAACTTGCCGCTTGTTTGAGTAATCTTAAGGGGAGCAAAGGTTTCTTCAGCTACTTATTAACCACACAGTCACATTTCTTTACATAATTACAAGTAGCTGGATAATGTGTAGAGTCATTTGTACAATGGCACCAGCTGATGGCTACTGTATGGTGTCAGTGGGCAACCAAAGATGGACCTGAACCTGTCTAGGCAATTATTACGTTCACTAGGTGATATTACAACTCTATCCAACTGGTTGAAGGTACCTCTGCCTGCAGCTGAGTGGCTGTACACTCATCTGTAATCTTTTCCCCTAATCTGTTTCCTCTTTCTGTGACCAGGTCCCTGCCATGCAGACTTACCAAACAAGTGGGAGCCTTCTGACATAGAGAATTCATCGCTGGGTGGGATTTGCAGTGGTCCCACCACATTGATGTCGGGGCCCACCCACTCATTCATTCAGGAGGGTTGTCAGGCACCAGCTCAGAAAACACAGGTTGGACTGGCCCACAGAGAAGTAGGAAGCCTCTGTTTACTTCTGTAACAAACATAAAAACAGTGTGAATGATGGTGAAGATCTCCTAAACATGCTTATACTGTAGGTCTGCAGAAACCTGCAGCACAATGTAATTTATCCTCAGCCTGGGAGTCTCTACATCAAAACACCTGACAAGGTTTCTCTCCCACACAGGGATGAGATGTTTTGAAAATTTATTAAAAATAAAAGTCTGACAGATCTCATTTACATAAGTTTTCAGACTCTTCACTTAGTACTTGGTTAAAGCACCTTTGGCTGCAATGACAGCCTCAAGTCTTCTTGAGGATGAAGCTACAAGCTTGGCACCTTTTATTTGGAATTTTCTTCCATTTTTCTTGCCAGGATCATTTAAGGTCACCCAGGTTGGATGGGGAGCGTTGCTGCACAGCCATGTTCAGATCTCTCCAGAGATGTTCTACTGGGTTCAGGTAGAGATTCTGGCTGGGCCACTCCAGGACTTTCACAAAGTTTTCACAAAGCCACTCCAGTGTTTTCTTGACAGTATGGGTCAGGTCATTGTCTTGTTGAAGTCTAAACTTTCTCCCTAGCCTGAGATCCTGAGCACGCTGGAGAAGGTTTTTATTGAGAGTGGCTCCATCATTTTCTGCATCCATCCTTCCCTCTGTCGTGACTAGTCTCCCAGTCACAGAAAACCATCCCCACAGGCTGGTGCTGCCACCACTGTGTTTGTATTGGTATTACTGACATGACGCTCAGTGCCTGGTTTTGTTCACACACACACTGGGAATTGTGGCCAAATAGTTCAAGTTTTGTTTCATCAGACCATTTGGCTTCTCATGGTCTGAGAGTCCTTCAGGTGCCCTTTGGCAAACTCCCAGCAGGCTGATATGTGTCTTTTAGTGAGGAATGGCTTCCCTCTGGCCACTCTATCATGGAGGCCTGAGTGGTGGAGTGCTGCGCTGATTGTTGTCCTTCTGTAAGGTTCTCCCATCTCCAGAAAGGAACTCTGGATCTCATTCATAGTGACCCTAGGGTTCTTGGTTACCGGTCTCTCCAACGCCCTTCGTCACCATTTACTCCATTTTGCTTGGCAGCCAGATCTATGAAGGCTCCATTTGAGAATGATGGAGCCTACCATGCTCTTGGACACTTTCAATGCTGCAGAAATGTTCTTGTCTCCTTCCCCTGATCTGTGTCTTGACACAATCCTGTCTTGTAGGTCTGTGAACAGTTTGCTCAACTTCATGGCTTTGTTTTCACTCTCACACACACCATCAGCTATGAGACCTTATGCAGACAGTGTGTGTGCCTTTCCCAATTATATCCAGTGCATTAAATTAGGTGCAGGAGGATAGGAGTAGGATGCACCAGAGCTCAATTGCAAGTGTCATATTTTGAGTGTTACTAGGAACAAGACCTGAACCACCAGGACTACCCCTGGTCCAGGCCTTGGTCAGGATGAGTGTCGGGAGTTCATTGCAGGGATAGGAGAACCCACCAGAGGACTTAAGCCTGAAGGAATGGTATAAACTGCCTAAATCCAGTTGTGCAAAACTAGCTTACTTCTAAAACATGTTTTCACTTCGTCATTACGGATAATTGAGTGTAGACTGATGGGAAATGGGTTATTTTATCAAATTAAATCTACAAGAAAGTCTGCAAAAAGTAGGGAGGTTTGAACCCCTTCTGAAACCACTGTAGATACAGTATATATATATTGTGTCCCCATTGTGTCTCTGTGTATGCCTCTCTCACTTGCTTCATTTCAGTCATTGTAGGAGAGCTGCAGAATGATGCTCGATGTGCATGAGCACAGTGAGTGTCGTGCCGGCCCTGAAGTGACACTGTGAGGGTATAAATAGAGTGGGCCCACAGATCACTGTGCCAGACAGAATGTGGCATCTGCTATGCTGGTAGTGCAAAGTGCTTGAGAGCCTCTAAACTTGTCTCGGTTCCTCTTCTCTCTCCTCACTCGCTCTCATCTTTTTTCCTCCTCTGTACTCCTGTCTGTCAGTTGCCTTCCACTGCATGTCTATCTTTGACACCTTTCTCTTTCCTCCTCCCACTATTCCCCTGTTCCCTGTTCCCTCTCCCTCGCTCTGTCTCTCTGCTTCACTCTGTCTCACTTTACTTTTGCCCTCCCCCCTCTCACATTCTGCCACACATCTGCTGTAATGTGTTGAGTGTTGTGGAGCAGTCCCATTTTCAATTTAGCCTCTCAGATCCTATTTCTAAGCACACAGCAAGAACCAGAAATGGGAGGTGGGGGCAGGGGGAATGAGAGATAGAAAGATAGGAAGTAGGCAAAAGGCAGAGCAGTTGGCCCTGCAGTGATGACCATCAAAGATTAGATTTTATATTTACCATTCTTTATAAATGCCCCTATTGTAATACTACATGTCCCATGTAAAAATAATTCAGTCCCATGAGATCACGAGGTGTACTCCTGAGGAAATCTTCAGCAGACTGGCCAAGTCTACACACAGGAGAAATAAAGTCATTGTGATTCTCTGCAGGTTATTTCCCACCCAGAGCAGATTATCAGTCCTACTGATTTGGCAGTCCACTTCCATACAAGTAAAGCCATTACTAAGTGACCCCTCTGCCCCCTCTGCATTACCTGATGCAATGCACTTTATCATACTGTATGATGCAGTAATGCATATCCAAACAACACGACTAATCCGGTTTATGGCCACACTACTGTATACATACACACCACACAAACGTTCTATTAAGAGTGCAACATTCTAGCATCATTGTTCTTACTGTATTCATTTAGATATCTTTTTTTTATTTATTTTCCAGCATCACACCACTTAATCTCATAATCTGCTTTTGCTCTGACTAGTACTGCATTCCCCCAAAGACAGGGGACCAATAGACCACCAATGTGCACTCACACAGTCCCAGTGTTGGACAAATAAGTAAGCAGCTTAACTGTCATTAGAATTTCCATTTTTAAAATGTCACCATTTCTTTTTACACCCCTTCCTTTTTGTCATTGTATACCCTTCCCTTCAGCTGTCTCTGTTCTCTGTGACAGGTAGTCTTCAACAACTGCATGCTGGCTCCTTACTACGTTCACCCTCTGGCAGTCCAATAATTGTTTTAAGACTTGATATTAGACACTGGGAGTGGAAAACCTACAGCAAAGAGAGGAAGTATAAAGGAGATGCTGCCATCAGGAAGATGGGGGACTGTCCAATCTTCAGTCAGCGAACAGCGGCAGGTCATCTTTTCATCCTTCTGTTTGCTCGCAGGCAGTGTTCTCATCTGTGAAGATGAAATTCAATCTTCATCTTTTCACTCACTCTCCCTCCCACATTACTCCACCCTTTCACCAACACTATTCTCAGCTTCTATCCTTCTATAACCGACTCTTCCTTTTTTTCTCACTCTTCTTCTCTGTCTCTTGCTTCTTCTTTCTCACCACTGTCAGTCACACAAGCAGCACACACTCTCACGCAAATGACTCAACTCCATTTTGTTGGCTGCAGGGGTAGCTGTTTGAGTGAACATTGTGTGATTCTTTTTTACCCTTAAATCTGTAATTACTTCAGTGATTGAGCCAAATGGAGTCTCACTCCCTCATCTTTCCCCATTTTTCCACTCCGGCAAGGAAAGAAATAAGGTTCATGTTGGCACATTTTGACTGACAGGTGCAAAGTTACCTTAAGATAAATGCTAAGTTCTGGTCAAAGGACACAAATGAAATTATGTAGGTCAGCTTCAACATGACAAGATAATAAGAGGCTTGTGATGTGAAAGGCTTTGCTTTAAAGACCAGGTTTAATTTGGAAATGTGTTTCCTTTTTCTTTTCCAAACAAGAAGTGCATGGAAAGCCTTAAATCATCATCAGCACACTCCAAATTTTGAACGCCTGACTGGTCTGGCTGCCAAATAAAAGGATCTTTTGCCTAGATGAGCAAAGCAAAATTTTTAACTATACAAAGCTGTCTCTTTCTTTTTCTCACATTTGCTGCTCTCACCTTGGATTTGTTTCTCTTTCAGCTTTCTTTAAGTTCCCATGCTAAAAAGGTAGAGCCACAGGGGGCCCCATCTAGAGTTTTGCAGGTCAGAAGGCTTTTGGCACGGGTATTCATCTTGAGAACTTTCCAGGGCCATGTCGGTGCCAGGATGCCATACATCAGGGGGCACAAAGGAGCATTGTGACTTGCACCCACATTTAAGGGGCCTTATGAGAGGGACCACAGAGGAAAACACTGAATGTCATTGTTGTTAGTGTCTGCACTGTTTCCTCAGTTATGATGTCATGGAAGGTCAAGGTCCAGCTGTGACCAAGCACGCATGACTGTTGAAAAAGGACACAATACTTCTCAGAAATGTATGCCTACTTACTGAAGTATTCTTGCATGCAAGCTAGTATGTTTGATGTTTGTTTCAGTGATGTTCATTTTGCAGCCATATTTTTTTTATTTACACAACCTGTTCCTCAGATTCAAAGCTTACTAACACAGAAGTTTTGTGCTCTCTATTCTGAGTGTGAGTCAGAGCTAAGTACAGATTTGTTTGATGAAGCACAGATGTAGCCGGCAAACTTAGCAGGTTAAGAGTAAAGAAACCACTCACTGTATTTGACCTTTTATGTCCACTGAGAGAATAGAGTATCAATCTACAGATATAACCAACTGATCTTATCAAGATTAGGACAGGGCTACTTCACAAAACAAAGAATGCTCTGTTAACATAAGAAAAAAGAAAAAGAAAGAAAAAGTCCAACAGTTTATAAAGACCATTACCATGTGAGACATTTAGTTGTTCAATAAAGCTCTTACTGTCTCAAATGCACAATGTTTTTTTTCCAGAACTTGGTCATATGATATGTAGTTTGGCATTTTAGAGACTCACCATTCACAGTAAGTAGTATCATTGGCAACCCAGAATGCAGCACTTACTGTATATGGTGTCAACTTTCACTATATGGCCTGCCTGTCTTCACCAAGTCAATAGTACACTCCACACCCCTGCTTTGTCCTATTTTTGCAGCAGTCAGTGGAAGCTAAATAATATATCATTATGTACAGGCAAAAAGAGAATAGTTAAAAAAATCCTACAAAACATATCACCTGTCTGTGGCTGTGGCTGTTTGTTTGTGCCACTATATATTAATATTTGGACTGCTATATATTCACACTCCTTCATAAGAACACTTTGCAATTAGATGCAGCTCTGTTGTTACACCCCTTTACCAAAATCACTCCATTGAGCATAAAATCCAATAGGAGATGTAAGGATCATCACATCTACAGTCTATACACAGCTCACCTTTTCATGCTTGCAGATTAAGTTTCCATTCCCTTCTTCAACCAGCAGACCTCTCCCACACAAATAGGAGCACTCCCACCATCTGTTCTCAAAAACACATGTCCACGACTCAGTTCGTTGTAGAGCTGATGATAGAAGAAATTAGTAATTGTAAAAACGAAATACTAAAAATACTATTAGTAGAAAACATTTTGGATGGTACATATCTCATCAGTAAGCACTATAGGTGTCTTGTGCTGATTATTTCTAAGAATGTTTTCACATTTAATGCTTTGAAGTGAACAGTGTAAATGAGAAAAATATTCTCGAACTAACCAAGTCTAGGGTTCAGAGCTTTGAGGACAGGGTGATGATTTGCTGTCTAGAACCAGTTTTGCCAATTTTTATTAATAGAAACTGAAGTAGAATGCACTTTTGCTAATATTGCCCTTTGTAGCATAATCTGAGTGATGAGTTATTTAATGTTAAAAAATATTTCTTCATTGGATTATTGTGAAATATATTATACATGTATACTATTGCTGTTTGGTGAAAAGAAAATGTTTTACTTTCTTTTGCCTGGAAATATCATTTAGTCTTGCTTTTGAACATGACATCATATACCATGTCAACCACCCAGCCATCTGTAAGTTCTCTGCCTCTTATCTGGAGTTGGGTTGTGGTGGCAGTAGGCTGAGCAAGGTAATCCAGGCGTCGCTCTCCCCAGCAATGTTTTCCAGCTCCTCCTAAAAGACCCTAAGGTGTTAACAAGCTAGATGAGATATACAGTATAATCTCTCCAGCATATTCTGGATCTACCCTGGAGCCTTCTGCCAGTTGGACATGCCTGGAGAACCTCCAACAGAAGGCGCTCAGGAGACATCCTGACGAGATGCCGGAACCACCTCCGATGGCTCCATTTGACCTGCAGGAATAGGAATTGGAGACGGGTGCTATGTAAGCCGGGTAGCAGACAAGGTTGGGGATCTGGGCATGTTGACCCCTGGCATTACAGACTGGTTCTAGGGATGTGACATGTCACATTTCAACTGTATAAAGCAAAAAAAATCAATTTTATAATCAGGTGCAGGTGGGGCTACCGCCTGGCTCTTTTCACTTCCCAGCTGTTGCTGAAGCTAAGCTACTGTGTATGTTCAAAACAAATAGAAACGTAATCCATGCACATTACATGAAACTTTCTCCTACTTGTAACTAAGGAATGAAAGGATATACAGATGTATGATAGATTTCAGTTTGCTTCAAGAATACAAGCCGAAGCTTAATTACTGTGCAGCAAGACTTCAAAGTCATCATTTTAGCTGAGCTGGAAGTTTGATTCTAAACGTTATTACCATCGTCCCCTGACACGCTATTTCTGCAACGTGAGCAAAAGTGGACCCTGAATCCCCACAGGAAACTAATGGTTGCACAACTCTACCATACGACTAGCAGTGTAGGACAGTTTCCTTGGTCACAGGGTGTGTGTAAGAGGCTGATAAGAGCAGTGTTTGGATCAAACAGGGCTAGGTGAGAGAATATATGCCAAGACATGGTGATTCACTGGTTCTTCTTTTTGCTCTGTCCATCTGATATCCTGCTTCAGTGTCTAAGAAAAGGTGTATAGCTAAGAGTTTCACTTTAGTAAGACTTGAAAAATGAGCATGTAAATCATTGTTTATCAAGAGGTCTATACAGAATGTAAAATACTTGCATCTGCAAACACTTTTCTCTGAGATTTTAAAATGCACATTGCTCCTTAGTTGTCCTCATGTATCATCTAAGTGCAAAAAATAATCATTTGAGAATTGAAAAAAATAACAGTTATAGCATTTAAGAGTCATAATTCATTAGCTTGATTCAAATAACACAGATTATCTGATCATTTTGTACATTTGTAATGTTGTCAGTGAGGCAGTACTCGCAGGGGATTATTGATTAAATGACCTATTGATGGAAGGCTGCAGCCTCAATGTTGGGTATTGATTCTGTGTTTCTCAGGAACAGAGGGCAGGGCCATTATGACATTTTGTAAAGCTTAATACCCTTAAAGAGGTTAAGAGATGATTGTGATTAACATGGTATCATTATCTGTGAAGTGCTATATTGCTCATAATGTCAGAATTTTGGTAATATACAGTATGTACAAATACACACACTAGCCCTTATAAATCTTACAGAGGCGCGTTAACCACACTGTCACACAACAGACAACACTCGTCCAATTGTAGAGAGATAAAGTTTTCATTGCAAAGGTGTGCATGAAGTGTGGAACCACACATGCTTAATTTTTCAACTTTAACCTCAGATTCATTCAATCAGCACTGTGGGAGGTGGTATTATTTTCAGTTGAAAGAGAACGAGAGGAAGAGAGAGAGAAAGATTATTCTAAATATCGCTTTAGACAGCAGACAGTAATGAATTGGTGCTTTGTGTGATTCACACAATAATGCATTCTGGATGTAGTTATGATCGAGGGCACTGAAAAAGTGTGGATGTATGTATTCAAATCACCAACAACTTTTACAGTGAGGTTGTCTGATTTATCTTTTCTTAATCATTTCAATCAAAGCACATTTGGCTCTGACTGATGAATATAAGATGCATAATATCAACAGCCTATAATTTATCTGTTGTTGTGTAATTGTCCAAGGAGTCATGAATGTATGCTGCATGCTGGGATCGATTCCATTCCTTTGACCTTGAATAGAAATTAGCTGCTAGAAAACCAAGTAGTTTCTATAATACTGGGTTTTTTAGCAATGACTGATAAAAAAAATTTGGCTCAGTGATGAGAAAAGGCATCTCAGGGACAAGAAGGTATCACTCAACAAGATTCCACCTTATTTAAAAGACGTAAACTTAAATCATTTACTTATGATGCCATCATGCTGTTCAGTTGAGTAATTTGACTATAAATTTAGGATAAAGCCAATAACATTCAAAGCATGTACACTCCATTTGTATCAGTGAGGGCAGACAAAAACATTGTAGTAACAGTTGTCAGTATAACGCAATACAGTGAAATAGCACCATCAACCACAACCTCTGAAATGACCATAAAGTCGAATCAACCCCTCATGAAAACAGATACATGTTCCCTTCGTGAAGGGAAGTTGTTGTTTTTTGCAGGACTGCTGTATTAGTCTGTATTAGTATTAGCTTTAGCTAATGCTGTCTATAAAGTGGTTAAGTGTATTTTGATTTGCATTTAGAGAAGGTGGCAATCACTACAATTACTTCCGGTATAATAATGATAATAAAAATAATGCAATGTAGTTTTCCTTTTGAATGACATTTGCAATTTGAACACGCCTTGACAACATATTTGCATTATCGGAGGAATATTGAAAGATTCTGATTTAAGGCAGCTTTTGAAAAATGCTGCCCTTTCTCTCTGTCCTCTCTGTGCCCTTTTTGCACACACTGTGTTCCCTCACCTGTATCTCACTGTTCACTGCCTCTGATCGGTCTTGACAGCTGCCCCTCCCTCAACTTGCCCTAAACACAAACACACATATAGAAAGAGAAAGACAGAAAACAAACACTACATCCTTGATGCAAGTGCAGCACCAAGAGTATATCTCACAATCTAAACCCACAGCATGATTAATTTAGCCCCAGTAGTTCTCTCTTTACTTCAGCCCATGTTGCAGCTCACGTTTGAAGGGGGTAAAGGTTCTATTCATCAAAGTTTACTTATGCTGCTATGTGAGACAGGCTTCGGGAATCCATAAACTACATTGCAAAACAGTGTATTGATTCTGTTTTATGCTGCACAGTTCTGACAGGTTGACAGACTCATGGAAAAGTCAAGAGCATCCAGAGAATGATCCAGAGGGCAAACAAGAGACAGGGATGGGAGACGGAATAAAATATCAGCAGATAAAGAGGAAGGGAGAGGGGGAGAGATGCTAACTCGCTCAGTATAGTGCTGCTATGACAGAGCGGTGCTGTTGCACTGACCGTCATCTTATCTCAGACCAACACCTGACCTTGACCTCTTTTCAATAAAACCCTGTTAAAACAAAAGGATTAGGTAAGTGTTTTCTGTCTGCTGTGCTTCTCTGCCAAAGCTCACCCGTTCACTGTTGGCTGGCATTTCTGAGAACGTGATGTTCTTTGTGTTACCAGTTTCCATGCACAAGCTTTTCTGAGCTGTGGAAAAACAAATCGTTTAAACAAATTTAGCTCCATTTGCTTGTAATGTGTCGTTTCCTTACAACCCCAGGGTACAGAAATAAAAAAAAAAAAAATCACATTTCAGTTAGTAGACACGTATTGTATTTATATTGAGAGTTTGTTCTAATGAATTAAAAGTCAATGAGCCTTTTAATTGTTCTCAGTTTTATACAGAGTGCACAATGATGCTGTCTCTTGCTGTTCAGCAGTTTAATGCAGTGAAAATTTATTTTTAAAGAACAGTGACCACCTAACTTCACACTCACCATGCAGTATGGTTTCTATAATAAAACGAATGTCTTCTTGAGTTTGTGTTCTCAGTTTCAACTACAACTCCAATCAGAATCATACATCTGTTACAATTAAATGATCTCTGGAAACACAATTCCTTTTTTAATAGTTTCAGCAGTGTGACTTAAGCAAACCTCATGCCAGGGCACATTAAATTTCACCAATGAAATGTATTTTCACTGAGCCATCCTTTCTGTTTATGGTCTAATATTACATTCTTTCTGGTGGCAATCCACTTCAAATCTGCCAAAAACTCTGGCAAAGACAGCATCATCATCCAAATCAAGCGGGTGCTGGAGGCTTACTTGGAATGTGGTTTATGGTTATTTATGGTGTGCCATTCAAATTAGAGTAACAGTCAACCATTATTTGCCAAATAGTGCTTGTGTGGAGCCCGGCTCAATAGTCTCTTTAGATCTCTCTACAGAGAACAGCTTGTTTTTCCTCATCTCTCTCTCTCCAGACCTCTAATCCTGCTCCATTGTCTCTCAGTGCTAGTTTATGGAGGGTAAGGACATGAACAGAAGGAGAAAGCAGACATTATAATTAGAAACTCCCCATTAACACCAGTGTTAAAATCCACAGTTTGTTTACTCTTCCAGCTGAACCTTTTCCTGTATTGAAATGATTGCTTTGGCCTTGTGTCTCTCACTGACTTTAGTGTCATTTCTCAATAATGGAGCCCATGTATGACCAATAATGTGCACTTTTAAAACCCCACTAGGAAAATAAGCCTGCATTTTATAAATATATATGCTTTCAATCATGTTGCCTCATTCCCCAAAGAAAACACAGAAATAAGTCACTGATTTTAAACAGAAGACAATTTAAATGTACGTTTTTACCACGCCCAGAAGAACTAGTACATTATCTGTACTGCACTGACCAGTGGTCACAGACGTGAGTGTGCTATTTAAAAGGCAGCTACACTGACTGGGACACCGATCTAAGTCGGATGGCCAAAGACATTTTGTCTTTTGTCTTTTGTAGTGTCAAATTTGGAACTTTTAGGAGACAGCTCTCAGATCAAATCTCATTTCATGTACAAAATCTCTTACTGAATGTGTTGTTAGTCACAACATGAGTGTCTCATGTGCCTGGCCATGCTCTCCATATAACATTCTACTGGAATGGTCTTTCTTATAAAGCAATTTTATAGTTTTTTTATTGTTGGAGACCAAGTTCATTCAACCTGTTACAATAGAAATGTGGTAATAATTTTAATAAAATAAAACAGGCTATGCAACAACAATTACTAAAGTAAACTGGCCAACAGAAAGACAAAGGTAAAAAAAAAAAAAACTGTTTTGTGTATGTGTGTGTTTTGCTATTTATTTGCTAATTAGCATTTTTATGCTCAGTTATCATCACTGTATTTTGAGTTGATTCATAAACAACCAGGGGAAATAAAACAACCAGAATGACTACTGTTTCCAAACACCCTGAAAGAAGAGAGAGAAACGATGCTTAAAATTCAAGTTGTACAGTCAGTAGCCTACTGCTGAAGATTTTAAATATCCTGGAAATGTCTATATGTGTGTAGAACTCTTGTTATTTAAACATATATAGCGTTGCAACAATATCTTTTGGCATAACTTTAGCACTGTGAGAATGCTTCTCTTTCCATCTGTCTCCGGTTCGGAGTTTCACGGTCTTTGTTGTGCTTGTCAAGCGAGTTTTCTCTCCCCCACCTCTGTGTGTCTCTGCTGTTCTCATGCACACGGTACAACAAGCAGGAAGTAGAAATAGGCAGACACCAGCGGATGAAAATAAGGAAGTAAACACTGTTGGATCGAAGCTGGAGCCCCCTCTACTACTGTCGTTTGAAAGTAGATCAGCCGACAGCTCAGTAAGAATTCAAGACACAACGTTGTGCTACGGAAGTTAGCCGTCAGGCTAACACCTCCAGTGACTCTTCATTATCTCAAAACAAGCTCTAGACAGAACAATAGAGCAAGGGAGGAAAACAGACAAGTAAGTACGCACCACAGTCGGTTGCAAACTCGTAAGCCCCAGAGGAAGGAGAAAATGTCTCTGTGTTTGTAAATCAGAGAGGGGGGAGGAGGAGGAGGAGAAGGGGGGGGTGCGTTACAGCAGTTTTTCTACTAGTTGTTTGTTATCGGCAGTGGCAAAGTGCGCTTACAGTGCTCAGGAGAGGCTCCGAGGAGGAAAAGAAAGTGTGGAGAGAAGAAAATACGTGCGTGTTCTGTGTACCAGACATGCGCCATGGCTTCTTTTCATTGTTTCACTCTCACTACTCCAGAGTGGACTGAAGTGAGGGTGAGAGGGGAAAAGACAAAAGCAGAACCAAACATAAGGAGGTCAGGGTCTGACCACACGCAGAGAAAGGTGAGAGCATGAGAGTGTGGCTGTTGCTGAGGGCACAGGCACTTTCTCTTTGTGAGGCAGTAAACGAAGTGTGTTTGTACACAGAGGCAGTTCACTTGCTGCAGACAGATCTTCCTGTTTATCGCCTTTGCAGAATGTTGTGTTTTTGTGCAGCTGGTGCGATAGTTTTGCACTGGATGTTGCTTCCTGTGGTCTCTGACTCATCTTGGAATGTTATATCAGAGGGGATTAGCCCTGATCTTGGACTTTCCCTGTGCAAATACAGCATGAGAGCTATTCACAGAAGGTCAATGCTATTAATAATCTGTCCTCTGTTCTGCATGTCATGTATGATATTTATTCCTCCCATCCCCAGAATTATTTTTATTCACCATGGAACACAAATGGGACACTCAGGAAGGAGCCATAGGAGTAGACCTGGAGGAGCTACCACAGATGGATGGTACATGTGATGCATGCGAGCCCGATGAGGCCCAACCAGCGACACAGGTGTGCCACATCTGCAGCTTTGCTTTCTGCCTGGTCCATGCTGAAAGACATGCCAACAGCACACATCACCCGTTAATGCCTTATAACCATGAGGGGACACAAGCTAATGGACCTGGCACCAACAGAGACTCCAGAATTAGAGCCGAGGAGGAGGAGGGTGCGGAGGGTCAGGGGATGGCGCCTCTTGCAATGGAAGTAGATAATGGAGATGCGAGCGGGGATGCTGAGGCGAGAAATGGCGCCCAGAATGGTTGGCCAGTGGAGGCCGAGCTGGGTGACAGAGCTGAGGGTGCAGAGGCAGGGCAGGAGGTCCTGGCTGAAGGAGACGCTGGGAAGAGGGACACTGTGACGGTAGAGAGACTGCGCTGCAAGGAGCATGGGCAGGAAGGCTCCCTCTACTGCAAACCAGATGAGAAGATCATCTGTGTGGTGTGTGCTGTGCAAGGTGACCACAGGGATCATGAAATCATCACTCTGCATGAGGCCTACATTTGGCAGAAGGTGAGCTGCACGCTCAGAGCATGACAGGTTTATATTTGCTATAGCAGCACTGTGTGATTTACTGCATGCTCTCTACTCTACTTACTCCTCCACAATGTCTGCAGCTCTGTAATGTATAACATAATGTATGCAGCTCACCGCTTATCTGGTTTGCATTTTTAATTGAGGAGTTAAGTAGTTTGCCAATATCTGTAGGCCCTGTAGTCTTTAAGTCAGCTTAGCAGGGCTCTCTAAGAGTGCCGTGTTTTACTTTTACATACAAATGTCTCATGACATCATTTATAAGTTGGTTAGGTTGTACGGCTACATAAATAATTTATATGAAAACTGCAATAGAAATTAGACATTATGACGACAGTATCTGTTTGCCTTGACACAATATTGGTTTCACCCTAGCGTATGTAAAAGTAACTCCATTGTCAGTTTAGTTCTGAAGAGTGTTGAGTTTGTGAGGAGTATAGCACCATTAAGTACCACTCAGATGTTATCAGCAGGCTGATGCATTGAAACTGTGTTACTGCACAGAGGGCCATTTAATAGGTTTGTGATGGCATCAGAAACCAGGGCTTAGCTTTGAATTAATGGTTTGAAAAGTCAAAGGTTTGGGCGCTAGGGGACACCTAATATACATGGAATCAGGAAATCTCAGCAAGAACTCCATTTGAACATTGTTCTAGAAAGCCAACCACCTAGCAGGAGTAGGAACAACCCTTATGGTGTGCTGGCTGTAGTTTATAGTGGCAGAATGCCATCCTCTGCCCTGTGGCTGTACAGTATATCTGGTAAAGAGAAGTAGAGCAGCACACTTCACTGGCTTCCTCTTACATCACGACCACATATGGATTGATGAGAGACGGCAGGGGTCACACACAATGGCATCCCAAAGCCACAAACATACTCTAGCTTTTCTCCTGTTTCCTGTTGCAGGGATATGATTTCCTCATCCACTGAGCACGTGGCATGTCAGACTTGATATGTAAGAACTGCAGCCTGTGACTGATGCACCGTAACTTTCTTGTGTGTGAAACGTCTTCTAAAAGAATCATCCTTTAACTGTTGGCATGTTTTAATATTTGTTTTTGTCAGCATGCCCAGTTTGCCTTTGTACAGAATTGTACAATTATCAGTAAAGCACAAGTTAATTTGGTGCTCTTTAAAATGATTAAGAGATAATAAGTAGCTCAGCGGGACTTTCTATTTTTGTTCGAGTCGCACAGAAAGAATCTCTGCAGTGTGCTTACTGTTTGTTTGTCTGCCCCTCCTGTAGAGCAGGCAGGGCTATGACCTACTGGGCTGTACACAACAGATGGCCGAGAAGATCAAAACCAAGTGGACCAACCCTGAGGTGAGTGCAAACACCTGCACACACTACAGAGTTAGACTGTAAGGGCCGTTTTTAGAACAGCTCTGCCAGAACATCAGAGCTCAACTGTTCTCCTTCAGAAATGAGCTCCAACCAGCTATTATCAAACGAAATGAGAATTTCTTTGCAGCAATAAAAGCTGGATTTGACCTCCTTGCTACGAATGACAGCGTGCCATGTTTCATTATGTGGTTGTGTTACATGGTTTAAATTTGTTTGTGAGTTTTCTTTCAAACATATCTCTCAGTGCAGTGACAACATGGCAGATGAACTTTATGGCAAATTTAGACAAAGCTGAACAAGTGTAGTACAGTAATGGTAACAAATAGCAGATAACATAAATATGAGGTTGACTTTTGCTGTGAATTGGGTCCATTGCAATTTTTTTTTTTTCAAATTGGACAAACAGGTGATGATAGTAAACATGCTTAAAATAATCTACAGTAGTGTAATACTTTTATTATTAATAGTGTGATAGTGTGTTGGCCATATTTTTCCCACTTTGTTTTATTTTACTTTAATGACTAACATACACAAGTACAATATGCATACTACTGTAGTTGCCTCGAGGTTTGTTGTGCTTTGATTTTGCAATGAATTCTAGGTCTGCCTCTAAGGAAGAAAAATACTGGTACATAATTAGGCCCAGGAGCCTCAGAGAGCCAGACAATGTGATATTGCAGCCCCTGTTATATTTTAAATGCATTGCTGTATTTCACTTGCTTCACTTCCAAGTTCAGATTGCCCATATTCTGATTTGGAGATCATATATGTGTGGTTATTATTTATTATCATGGCTTCAGTGTAAAACAAAAAACCTAGCAATAATGACTTAGGGATTGTATTATCATATTAGTTTTTATAGGTTCCTGTTAAGGTTTTAAAAGAAGCCTTATTTGAACCTGGTTTCAAGTCATAGTAGTCATAGCAAAGCAAAAAGTGAGCCACTAGTCGTTAATTCATTGGCATTAAGCAGTGCAACGGAGGAAATGCAGCGGTCTAGAATTGAGATAGAGAGGGATTAGAAAGAGATTGCCATAAACGCATTAGGTAGTAAACATGAAAGCCAATAATTTCAATCCATATATTAATCACACTGTCCCATTTACAGACCACACATCTTGCCTATTGGGTTTCTGCATAGGAGTGATGGCATCATTGTGTGATTACTGAGTCATGTCGTTTTCAGATTTCAGCTATCATTCTGTTGACTCAGCACTTACGTGCTCAGTCGCGGGTTGTATTTTGTTAGAGAATGTGATTTAGGCATTGTCATGTATAAATCAGGGGAATCCTGAATATACTGCAGCTTTTTTTTAAAACCACTGTCAAACTTGAAAGGTTGACAATGCCTACTTGTATTCGGTCTTGTGCTTAGACTGCAGATACAGTGTATTATACATTGTGTTGAACTGTGAAGGGTACTTTTTTTTTTTTTACCCCTCCATATAAATAAATGAAGTGGACAAAATATTTAAAACACAGTTTATTATCATGAACTTCAATATAACACTTATTTTTATTACAGCCTCAAAAACGACCCTACTAATGACCGGAGGTGGATAGTACCTAAATACATTTACTTAAGTACAATTTTAAAGTATCTCTATTTTACTCAAGTATTTTAATTTTCAGCTACTTCACTACATTTTAGAGACAAAAATTATACCTATAGTCCACTACATTTATTAGATAACTTCAGTTACTACTTACTTTACACTACACAAAATACAGTATAATAATGAGTTAATTGATCCCTAGTGGGAAATTCACACATAGTGACTACTTCTACTTTTGGTACTTTATATGATCTCCAACTTCTACTTTTGGTACTTTAAGTAGAACTTTGGTGCTCATACTTTTGTACTTGAGTAACATTTTGAATTGGATTGAGTGTTTTTACATTGTACCTCTTCCACCAGTGGTAATGAGGTGTTGTTACATCCACTCACACACACACACACACACACACACACACACATCTCTATACTCATGCCACCAGGGTTGACCTCAGTTTTATACTGAAGGCAGTTGTACACTTATTGTGGTGCCTTGTGCAAAAACCAGTTTGCAGGGTAGTTATTGAGAGATGTTTGTTATATGTCAGTCATATGAAGCAAATACAGGAAAACAGGGCCACAGGATGAAATAATGATCATAACCTTATTCCATTTCTGGAAGCAGGGTTACTGGTGTATTTCACTCACGGCCACCTTCCTCCTAATGTCACCCCAGCCTCAAAATCTGCAAACTGAATTTTCATGACAAGTCATCCTTGAAAGTGGTGGCTGTATTTCTGTTACTAATGCCACAGTGGGGCATGTTCTGCCACTGAAGATGAAACCTGACCACCGATAGTTACGTGTTGTGCTTTGAGAAATGTAATAGTGAGAAGCAGCATCTTGGATGTACAATATTGTGTGTCTCAACTATTTGACAGTGGCTGCACCGGCTCTCTCAACCACCAAGGCAGCTCCTGTTCTGCCTTTTGCTCTGCTTCTATAACTGCGTCTGAACCTGTCGGAGAGTACTGGCACGCAGGAGCATTGCTCAGTACCTGCAGAGATGTGACCCAAGCACAGTGGCATAATGGAAGAGGTTAATTTGACTGGCCTCTGAGTGGTAACACTTTTTTTTCTCTGGCAGCCGGCACCCCACCCCGAGTTCATGCCTATTAGCATATTGAAATATCAATGCTGCCCCAAGGACTTCCTGGACATTTAGTCTTGTGCTGTTCACTGTAGAGGTGGAAACCACTTACCTGCTCCTTCACAGGGCGCTGCGTTAGAGACCATTATGTGGATTTATTGGAATGTCTTGTCTGCACTCTCAAATGTCAGCATTTCTTAATATGCATGACAGGCAACCATCAGGGACTTCTCCTGATGAGGAAAGTTGTGTGTTTGTGTGAGAGACAGAGAGGCAAACGGAAATCGGTGGAGGTTCAATTGCATTGTATTTACATCCTAAAAGACTTCATAGAGGAGCAGGTGTGTCTGCGAGGAGGCGAGGGGTGGATGAAAGATTTAACCCTTAGCTGCTGTTTGCTTATTAAATCTGTTCTGCTTAATTAAGTACATTGCTGCAGGTGTGGGGATTATTATTATGTGGGGCTCAGAGCCGTTATCTCCACTGGGGAATGGAATATAATGCAAAACACAGTGATGAAGCTGCGTACATATTAATGGAGGACCAGAAGCATAACGTAACATGAGTGGCATAGACAGCTGTCTGTCACTCAGCCAGTCGGCTAGCCTTACCTAACGTCAGAGAGCTGGAAAAGACTGGTGAAACAGGTTACTGTTTGAGACTAATGCAGCAGGTAGTCGGCATATTTCTCATGTTCTCATGTTTTATTTACTCACTCTCTGGGGCACATGCTGTTTGCATGAAGAAGAGGCCAGTATCTTGAAGCGGCATGGCAACATTAGCCAGTTACAAATATGTATGTGTGTGCAGTGGCTACATCCTTTTTCCCTGCCTCATAAAATCTACAAGAGCAGTAGACACATTAAAGCTGTCTTAGGAAGCCAAGGCTGACGAACAGACGGGAGAGGCATGAAAAGACTTGGCTGTTGTTGTTGGATTTATTCATCCAGCTTTTTGTTGTCCTCATCTACCGCATCCCTTTTTTCCCCCTCACCTTCTTTTCCTCTCTCTACCTGCTCTCCTATTGCTCTTCAAGGCTGTCGTTCACTTTTTATCTCCACTCACAGTAATTTTAATTGAATACACTGTATCATTCCCCAGAAAGTTGCTTGGCTGACATTGCCTTATTCTCAAAACCAGAAAAGCGGTGCTCTGTATTGAAACTCTGTTATAAAACCAAAGAACCTCTGTCTCATTTTTTCCTTTCTTTGTTTAAATTTCTCTTACTTCCTCATGACATATTACTTTGCATGACCTTTGGAGACCCGGTGTTGCTCAGATTGACTTTGTAGTTTTGTGTTAAATTAGAGATTCTAATTTCTGAAAGAGATAAGAGAGCATAGTAGAGAGCAGTGTTCACTTGGAACAGGGCCACTGTTGCCAAGGGCAAGGACAGTTCAAATCCATTTACTCCTAATGTTCTATTAATGCTTTTTAGGCCATTTTTTAAAGGGCATCGCACAAAACAGGGCACTGAATAAGCAGCAGAACCAGCTCTGATTTGGTATTGAGAACATGCAAAGAAAGCTAACCATCTGAATTATTCCCTTAAGAAGGATTTACGGTACATTCCTTTACAAAGCAGCGACATGCACCGCTGTATGAACCAGTAAATCCTAGATGTCTTGGACATCATGTCATTTCAAATAACATGTGCTTTATTTTTCTTGAAACTTTGGGAGCTAACTAGAAACTAAAATGCTTTTGTCCAGAGAAAGCAGATGTGATGATGGAATGTCTGTGCAGCTGAAAAGGTTCAGATGAATAAAAGCTGAGGTTACTTTGATATTTGTGTCAGGTGTTTTTGTCTTACCTTGGATTTCCATTTTAGTGTATTCTGATGTCTCACCAGAGTAAAGCAGTGATCTGTTTTCAGGGTTTTGGTTCTTCTTCTGCAGCAACACTGTGTAACTCAACCTTCTTTGTAGCCACTCAGTACACTGGTGTGTGAAGTTTGTTATTTGTGTTGCTACTTTGTAATAACTTGAAGTGTTTCTTATTTTTTAGAAAACAATAGATCCTAGCTTTCTGAAGAAACATCTTCATTCGTATGGAGTTGTTTTTCTTCCTCTCTGAGTTTCATTTTCCATAAAGCAAAGGAATTAAATAACCATTCTGGTCAACTGGCCTGACTTTAGATTGCATGAGGTCTGAACTGACATAGGTCTTTTCAGTTTTTCATTTGTTTGCATTAACATCCTTTGAATTTCTCAGTGAAGATTCTATAGTAATGACACAAAGCATGTTAGAAACGTGAATGAAAAAGAATTTGGCCATTATAATCCACTTTCCTAATGTTCTACCTTTGCTTAAAAAGAACTGAGTTGTCTTAACCTGCTGGCCTCATGTCCTACCTCTGCCTGTACTCTCACTCTCATTCCTCGTCCTTACTCCAACTCTGCCCTTGTAAGCAGTGTGCTGCGGTCTTTCCCAAGGCCTCATTTTGTGGCCTCGGCTTGCGGCAATGCAAATGAAGATTAGCATGTATGCTCCTTCCTTGGCCAATTCTGAAAAACTTTGTCGCTAAGTGAAAGGTCCAAACACAAAGACACTGACAGGGGATCACAGCTCCCATCAGTGAAGCCACAGGGAGATGATGGGGGGCAGGAGGTCACGGAGATGTCGAGATGTGATGGACTGTGTCAGATTGATGACAGATAAGATACTGAAGAGGACAGGTTTTATGTTTCAGTTCTGTCCACCCTATTTGTGCTTTAACTTTGCTTTTGGGTACCATTGTTGTTCTTTATGATTTATGTTAACCGCCTTCTTTCTATTGTCTGAAATTTGCTGTGACCATAAAGGAACAAAATATGCAGATACAGATTTTCTTTTGATTAACAGGTGTGTACTGAGTTGTTTTTTTTATTTCTTACTTTAAAAGTTAGATTGTCTCACTTTGGCACAGATAGACTAGCCATTTAAGGAAATATTCTCACTAAAGTTTGGCCCTTCATGAGTATTTATGATGACAGCTGAATGCTGAAGCTATGGCTGACATGGAATCTGCTGATGAAGTAAGTACTGCTGCTGCTTGTTGTTAATGAATTTATAGATGCCAGTAGTTTGGCCAACTACTAATAAAAGCAAATGCCTAGCATATGTCAAAACTATTAGAAATAAAAGTTTGACAGGGTCAGTTAGATTTGGGGGAATTGGACTTGACTATTGAATTTGTTGATATTTGTTCACAGGCAACTTGGAGCAAGACGTCAGAGGATTAAAAACACGAGGAGCAGCTTAAACATTCTGCCTTGTCATTTCCTAATGTGTTTTTGAATGTTAAGGGCTGACTTTTAAAATGATGAGTCTTCAGCCTCTATTGCACTTTAGTAAAGATTTATTATATTTGAGCATTTCCTTTTATTGCTTTTGGGTTTTAAAGTATAAGAACTTCATTTCAGAGACAGAAAGATACAGTTGATTTGGAAAATGCTTTTTCATTCTTTCCAGTCTGCTACATTTACAGATATATTTCATTTGCATATCTGTAAGTAATGGAACATGTTGCTAGTCCAAATCATTTGTAGTCTGCTGTTCCTCATCTGTCAGACATTTATTTAGGGCATTGACTTTAGTGAAGCAAAATGAGAAAAGGACTCTCCGCTTTCCAATTAGATGTCAACTAATTCTCTGTCTGAATGAGAATGAATGACATGCAGGCTCTTCTCTGCTCATACAAAGAAAGTAAATTAAAAATGTTACTTCTTCTGCCTGGTTTAATAAGCAGTTTGGAGAGTCTGATTGCTTGTGCAGAAATGGCAAATAAATGATAAAACTTTGGGCCCTCAGGGGCCGGGGCTCTGCCACCTTTAGTAAAGACAGACGATTCCTTGCTTCACTGGAGAGAGGGAAGCTGAGGGGAAACAGATGGAAAGGAAGAGAGTGAAGTTCATCTTAAGGGAAAAGCAGAATGCAATGGCTTATATTCATAGATTGAAGCGATTGTAACAAATTCAGGAGTAGAGAATATGACAAGGGACTTTGGGGTGTTTTATCTTATAACAGTATATGCACTGGAAGTGGAGCATCTCAGTGGGAAGAACTGTAGAAAGTCATCTGTTTATTGAGGGGTTGTAATGTAATGAATCATAGCTAAAGAGATCCTCATCAAGAGACATGGAACAGAATTGAAAAGGTATCTCAGTGAGCAGTTCATTTGCCCTGAAAGCCAAGCAGATGGCTTGCTGTGGTAGAAGGAGTCTCCGATTTCTCTGTCTACAGCTGGGACGAGGTAGTTTTCCTCCTGGGATCTCCTTCATGGTATCAGTTAACTACTGCATGATAGAGACCAGTGGGCATAAAAATAATATTCACTTGTGAAAGTAAAAGACAGAGATTTCCGTCTCCCCTAGTATACTGTGGTCATTCCATATGCATCTCTATGTTTTAACACTGGATATTCAGATATTCACTTCTTACAAGTGCAGTTTTATTGTCATCTCATCTTGACTTTTCTGAAATTAATGTCTGTCTGTGTTTTTCTGTTTTATGAGTTATTCTCAGTGATTCATACACACACTGTATTCAGCCCTATTTGAAATGGCAGCCCATTGTCTGTTTCCATCTTCATAAGTTATGGACTTGAATCTAAAATCTCTGCTTAAATTCACCCTCTTCTTCTCTGTCTCCTGTAACTGATCTGCATATCCTAGATGTCTACAGAAGAGTTGGAGGCCTATGTGAACAGCCAGTTTGATGAGCTCCGAAAATTGGTGCGTCTGGAGGAGAAGCGGACCCTTCCCTTGGTAGCCCTCAAAGAGGCTTTCCTGACAGCGTCCGCCGCTGAGAAGATCACAGAAATCACTGTCCAGACTGAGCGGCTGCAGGAGGAGATGGCCAACATCACACACCAGCTGTACCTGCTGGAACAAGCTGAGGCACAGGCAATTGGTCCCCCAGCGATAGCAGAGGTCCTCGCAGCAAAGCCCGGAGTAGCCCACAGAGTCCTGGTGAGAAGAATTTCACTCCTTGCTTACTGTCCTTATGCTTCTTAAACTGTTAATACACAATGCATACACTACACAGATCTGATGTAGTGTTAAACTTGCTCAGTTATGGTCATCTAGTATATAGTAAGTTGCAGTCAGTGTATAAGTTAGGCTTTCTAATTCTCTTTTAATTCATGTGACCAATTATATTGGGAATTGGTTTAAAACTGGGCACCAAGTAACAAATTGGGGGTGACTGTGGTTCAGTAGGTAGAGCAGTCGTCTCCCAACCAGAGGGTTGGAGGTTCAAATCACGGTGCCTGCAGTCCATATGTCAAAGTGTCCTTGGGCAAGATACTGAACCCCCAAGTTGCCCCCAATGGTTAGAGCCATCAGTGTGAGTTGGCGCCGCAGATGGCTGACTCGGTTCTGTACCGGAAACAAATTCCATGTGTGTGTAACATACTTGGCCAAATAAAGGTGATTATCCTGATTATCCTTATCCTAATTTACATCTGCATTTTGGCTTGTTGTGAACCAAAGCTTGTAAGACTTGAAAGCATTTCCGAAAATGAAAGAGAAATAAGAGCAGCAGATCCAGAAGCCATATCTGAGTGAAGCTCACACCCTAAATGACAACATAATGTTGCATCATGCAGTATGTTGTAAGCACTTTGCACTAATAGAAGCAAACAGGGTCAATATTTAATTAATTAAAAACTTCAAACACAGTAGTCTGCTGCCAGAGTTGTTACTAAGGGCAGTCTTGTAAAATGGGGCTGTTATTTCTCTTGTCAATAAACAGTTACAAACAATTTGCGAGCCAGCACAAAGCTGTTTTGTTGCAGATCATGTGTAGCCAACTGTATGGTGCAGGCTGTAAATAGTTATTATCGATGATTTAAATTATAACATAGGACAAACAGCAGTGGCACCTCAAACCTGGCTTCATTTCATAGTGACATAGCCTAACTGAAAAATGCTGTTGCTGCTAAAGACTTGGTGCTAGAGCTAGGCCATGTAGGCATAACTATTATGATTTCTTTTCATATTGATCCATATCAATAATTATCTCAATATATTTAATACTATTAATAAAGAAGGAAACATTCAATATGTTTCTTAGAAGTACACATGGATGTGAACAAGAAAGCTCCACAGGGTCACCCTTATTTGAATTTCATTTAATCCTACATGAATCACAATGTTTGTTATAGTTCTAAACTATCATTTATTTTTAAACCAATAATTTGATACTGATGATGCAGTTTGGATTGAAGTTACCACAACAGTCTTTGGTGCTAGACCTAGCAGTTCAACTTACTTTATACCGGGATAGTGCAATAGTAACGTCAAATTTTTAAATGGATAGTTTTGTTTCTAAAGCTGTTTATCCAGCTTTAAAAATCGGAACCGTTTCCAAATCACAGATGTGGTGTGACCCCTCTTTGCCACAGTGTCATTGTTATATGTGGCCATTTGACTCTCTTCATGGTTGCTCATGTTCACAATTTGAACAACACCTGCACTTTTTTTTTTTTTTTTTTTTTTTTTTTGGCCCTACACATGTCAGCTGCATAACGGAAGTTACGAATGTAACTGTGGTTCTGTGGAATGAAACAGAACCCAGTTGCTGTAGTTTAACAGGGTGATCATGCAGAAGGTTGACCCAGATGCAGAAAAGACACATTTATCCAGAATTACTCCTCAGTGTACTATTATTACTGTGGACACCTGCTAGTGCAAACCGGATATGGTGAACAGGTGCCACCATAGGATAGACTGGCTGCATCTATCTGGGGCTATGTTCATGTAGAGAAATACAGTTTTCCTTTCATACAGTTACCTCTGTGTGATGATACAGGTAGTTAGATGAAAATAAATCCTAAGCTGTTGGCTGATGAAGCACAAGCGTAGCTGTATTTGTCCACTGGATAAAGTATGTGTATCTTATGAACACAGCAGCTGAATACACAGTTCCTGCTCTTTTTAAACACAAGCCCAGTAGCCATGTTATCATCTCATGCCAAAGTCCTGTTCACATCAGAGTTTGTATGTACATACAGTTTATAATTTATTCTTTGCATGCACATGAACATAATGGAAGTGCAGTCCATCTTAAAGCACTTATATCACTTAATATCTGTGTACTTGACTCCTTCATCCTCTCATTTGAACATTGAAGAGGAGGCTTTTAATGTTCATAGGCCCCATATCAAAATATCCCATTGGTCCATTTGTCTCTTGTTATACTGTAGTCACCACAGTCAAGAAGGGAGGCTTGAGTGCCTTGTGCAAATGCTGTGTAGGACCAGGGGGCTGCAGTAACGATGGTAGTTAATGTGCAAATTGCTTTTCTAACTGTGAAATGATTCCATGGTGAGGCAGTGGTTTTCTTGTTAGCTCTCATGTGTTTGCTATTGCCGGGCTAAATATTGGTTAGTGTTTATTGGAGATGTATGGTCATTGGAGAAGTGTTTGTAGGTGTTGTGAGGTACGTATACAGCAACTGTGTATCCTGTTGTGTGTATGTTGATACGCACAATTCAGAGTGAGTTGAGCGAACTGAGATTTAAAGTGAGTGTATATGGGGTTACCAAAACAGCTGCTGGATGAAAGAGATGTATCAAGTCCACTTGCAGCATTTTTTTTGTCAGCTGTATAAGAATTTTTAGATGCACAGATTTTCAGAGAATAAGTGACTCAAACATGAATTCAGAGCCAAAGGTAGTGGCTCTGTTCAAATGAAAGTACATGTGTGTGTGTATACCCCGTTTTCTTTTCAGGTTTTTGTTTTCCTATTCCTTTTGTAAAGCACAATCTAATCCTGTTTGCCAGAGAGCTGCAGTTATAGCCGTCGACACTTTCTGGAAGTACTCTTGTGCCAACTTTTTGCAAAAAAACAGAGACTAGCAGTTTCATAGCCAAGTCAGAAAAACGATTGCTGCTATAAAATAGAAAAAAAAATAGAATTAATGTATGGCCAAGTATGTTACACACACAAGGAATTTGTTTCCAGTACAGAACCAATGGCAACCATTTGCGGCGCCAACTCAGCCGATGGCTCTAACCATCGGGGGCAACGGGGGGGTTCAGTGTCTTACCCAAGGACACTTTGAATGCCACCCACCGCACCACAGTTGCCGCCCCTATGTAAGAATATCAGGCTTGCGCCCTGCAGCCGTATGACGTGGGATGGAGCAACTATGATGTGAAATGTTTTTCACCTGCATAAAACCCATCCTTTAATCTGCTACCCAAAGAATAAACCACATAACCGAGGTGAGCCTTCTTGCTTAAGGTCAAACTAATTACCACTGGTTCTCCCATCTTTCTTTAAATGCAGCTGCAAGAACACAAAGGTGTAGACACATACACACACACACACACACACACACACACACACACACACACACACACACACACGATCCGTATGATGAGATGGAAAAGCTTTCAGAAAATCGACCAAGCAGTGGCAACTACATGGAGGCTATGTTAAGAGACTTTGTCTCAGTCTGAGTTCATTTATTATCACACTGCTCAGCCTCCACATTTTCATTAATAAGTGCAAATAGGTATTAATTTGGACGGTCACACAGTGCGTTTACTTAAAAATTCACTCATCACCATGCATTAATTAAAAACATCGGTGTGTCACTTGGCAGGACGCACAAACACAGAAGGATTGTTTTGCCTTTCAAAGTAGTCATAGTCAGGTGTGTACAGAATGGTGTAGACATATTCTGTAGCTAGAATTTCTAATTATATGTAATAACTTTTAAACAACGGTGGGTAGCATAGACCACTGAACTTCACTTTTTCATTGAGAAATATACACAGTATAAACTTTGCACGTATGCTTCTGCACATGTGCCTTTGTACTTGCAAGTACACTTGTGTCTTCATTGCCTACTTTATTGTGCAGTTGTGCTGGACCACAGCGTCACAGTATGACTAATGAGGTTCTGTAAGGTTCCTTTAGTTTGTGAATTTGTTTAGAAGAGCATCACCACTGTTTAAGTTATAAAGGACTCCTAGCACTGAAGCAAAGCCAAGAACCCTCATTCTCCAGGAAGTCTGCACCAGTGACCCAACCCTGTGTCAGTTGTGACCCAGGTCACAATGAACTGCCCAGTGGCTGATCTCAAACGATGCAGCCTTTTGTCTGGTGGCTTTACCTTTAAATAAGCTCAAGCTCGGTTCTAAGACTTTTTTTTTTAATTCTTTTTTCTTTTCCGGTGCAGTTTGTTTCAGGTTTGCACATTTTTACCATAAATGCATGTTGAGGAATCGTTTTCTTTTTAAACCATTTGAAAACAAACAAAAAACTGATCATTTATCAATAAATGATTATAGTAGCTGATTGTGAACTCCCGTGGGCTTCAGAGGTACACTTTGTACCAGTGAAGTGCTCAGATGTTGATATTGCTTTTAAATCATGAATGGAGCAGCATCAAGGTGCTTCTGTTGACAGACATGAGTCTCAGTTGTTCTTAGTTTTGAGGGACCAGCTTTTACTTGAGCACAATAAATTAATATTTCTAGCCTATGTGAATAATGCAGGAAATGTCGAGTATTAGTATTAGTATTATTCAGCCCTCAAGGTATGATGTTTCTGTATCCTTTTGATGGGTAATTACAATCAGAAAAAGCTATCTAGCTGTCAGCTTGTTTCTAACAGCATATGGCTTTCAGTTTTGTAGGTGGTGGCTCTAAAAAGCTCTTTAATTGGACCAAATGAAAACAAAGCACATAATTGGGCTCTAACAAGCTGCAATATATAAAACAAATTTCAAAGAAATATCATATCTGTACCTAATTCAATATGTACTTAAACAGAATCATTGACAAAATTCAATTAGACGGATATGGGATGCAGCCAGTTAGAATGTGGACAGATACTTGTACAGTACAGCTTTATTCGGTGTTTAACATTTAGCATGCATAGCTCCATCTGACTCCATCTGATCACCAGCAATGTAGACCCTGCTATTATTTATAGCATAGGGTGATTGTAAATGGTCTCTTTAGGGGAATCATTGGTACAGTATTATTGGAAATATGATATATCATGAGTGCTGAACACTGGAACATGCAAATATCATACAGAATATTTTACTCAATAGTCGGATGTCTGATTTTCTTTCACTGAATAGTCCAAACAGGCTTGAACTAGGGAATGTTTTAGGTGTTTTAAAGTTTGCACGTCTAGTTAGTGTGGAGGCAGCCTTACAGGCAGCCAGTGAGAACTTCTTTGGTAAATGTCAGTTTTGCACCCTGACTTCACAAATTGATTTTTTTGATTCTACTGAAGCGTTTGACAAGATAAACCAAGAAAAGTCTCAGCAAGTTCCAGTATTTGAAATTATGTATTTGTCCAGATCTGAAGCTAATTACATTTAGAGCCAGACCTGAGTCAGCGAGGCATACAGCCAGTCAGTGCCCCACAGCCTCCACTCATCAGTTCTCATGTCATCTGCTGTGCTGCCAACAAGCCACTGCCTTCAAGATGCTGTTAGGGCGGAGACTCGCCATCAGCCATCACCGGGCTGTCAGTGAGCGTGTGTCGGGGCTCGTCTTCCCGTTCTGTTGGCTCTAGTCGGGCAGTGTCATTTGCAACTTCTTATCAGACATATTCTCACTTAGAAGCAGCTATAAACAGCAGCTCTTTTAAACTTGAGGTGTTTTGTTTATAGCTTATACTTCTGCATTCTAGCTCTTCTTCTTTCCCTTTCTGAATGGTGAATACAGATACCGCCAACTGCTGGTAGGGGGAGTTACTTCTGTCACCCAGGCACAGAATGTACGTGCTAGTCGGCCACTGGCTACAGTCTGTGTGGTGCGTTCAAGTGCCACTGTTTCAACCCAGCTGGCCCACACAAAGCCAACATGAGGCGATGCAGAGGTCGGTCTTCATCGCTGCTGTTTCTTTCATGTCAGCTTGGGGTGTCTCTGCCCTTATTTACAGTGCCAATATCCCTTTCTGGTGCAACCATCTTAGGGCTGGTAGTCAAGGTTGAGTGTGACAGTACAATCAGTGCTGAGCAGAATATTAAAGATAACAAACGAGGCTGCCTGGTGTTCAAGGTCCTCTTGACTGAAAAAGACCAGCACGGATCATATATTCTAAAATATGAACACATAGTTTGTCTATGGTACATGACGGCAAGTGTGAGACATGCATGCTGGAGCTGTGTGGTAAGCTAAACACTGACTATGCAGGTCTATTTGTAAACTCACAGTTATAATATAAATCTTACTGGTAAGCCTTGTGAATAATACATTAACATCTTGCAGGAACTGACAGAATTTGAAATATACTCCAAATTTGCATTTGGCGCATCAATAAACCTTTTGCTTGAAATGTTTGCATAAGTATCACATAATAGAAGTGAATAAATCACGTCCATCATTTTGACATTGAAAAATCTTTTAAACCCCAATTAAAAATTTAAGCCGAAAAGCCAGCACATGAATGAAGTTTGAGGCTCACTAGGTGCTTTGTTCCAGACTGCTCCTTTAAATGCTCATGAATATACATGAGCACAACTGGTGGATGAAAGTGAAAATTAATTGGTCAGATTTAGAGCCACACCAGCTGTGGGCCAAGTTGTTGTTGATGTAAATTATGTTGTTTACCTTTTATTTGCTTTCATTTGTTTTCTGCAGCACCTGTGCAAAAAATGTAAATATGTTTAATTCTCTCTCTGTGTCTCTCTATCTCTCTCTCCCTCTCTCTCATTTTCAGGACGACGTTGAGGCCAGGCCAAGGTAAGACTGCCTGTATGATTCATGTTCACCTTCTTATCGCAAGATAGTTTAGCGGCGACTAAGGACTCTTCACAACCACCACACTCAGTTTCTTGTGCCATCAGCCACTACGAGACTGGCAAATATTCATCTTGCATAACAAGACGCACCCCCTCCAAGTCTCTTGTCCTCTTACACTTCCACCTTTTACTGACTCTTTCAAACAACGTATATACACAGAACAGAGTCACCTATACAGAGTCACTCCCCCCCCCCCGCTCCCCCCCAAAATCTAGTCGCATGCGAGTCACGTCTGTCAATTAGTAGCTCTCATCTGTGTGTGCCTGCTGGAATCAGAAGAGGTGACAATCCTCCTGGTCCAGGAAGAGGGCTGTGGACGGTAGCTGACAGGCTCTAGCTGGGAGTGTTTGTGTGTACACCTGGTGACCAAACATATTGTAGGGACCAAAACCTGTTTGCATACTCACGATGTGGAGCATCAGCCTATCTTGTGGGGACCAGATGCTGCTCTGCACCACGTAAATCATTTCTTTTTTGAGTGACACTTTGGTTTAAAGTTAGGTTAGGTGAATTCTAGGGAGTTAATGTAACTCAGTGTCCCCATGAGGAATGTCAGAAGACTGTGCGTTTATATCGAGATGACTGGCTTAGGAGGTAGAGTGGGTCATCTCTTAACCTGATAATATCACCGGTGTGTGAGTGTGTACAAATAGGTGAATGGGAAATAATGTAAAGAGCTTTGAGTGTGCTTCAGTGTGCAGAAAAACGCTATATAAGAATAAGACTATATATATATGCATGCATACCTTATACATGTGCACTTGTGCTAAGACAAGCTGTTGTGTCATTTCTCACTGTCTAACGCAGCATATTATTTACATTTCCACTCTCCCAAAGCACGCAGGCATGAGAGAGTGTGAAATTAGTCTGGACAGATATAGTCATATACTTTTTTTTCCTTTCGCCTTTGTCTGTGTCTCTGTCAGACATTTTGATATGGATAGTCCTCTTCCAGTCTCACACTTATTGATCTGTTGTCATGAAAACTTTTCCTCCTCCTTCATCTGAAGAAGGAGCACTTCTAGCACCACCTGCTGTCTTTGCCTCTCCTTTAGCTGTCTCCCTAGGCTTTCGTGTCGAAGTGCTTCTCCCCTCTACAGACTCACACACAGAGATTCAGACGCCTTGAGCAAATGCCAGCATGTCTGCTGATAAAAGAACCTTATTTTCTGGAGGTTGAATACAAGAATAGAGCCTATGTTTAACAAAATCCACTTTTGATTAACAACATGCATATTTTGCCTCTGCGTCTACAGTAAATTGAATTTTTAATTTCACTTTATACTGTTGATTTTGAGCCATAGCCTGCCTGTGGGAAATCTGAAGTTTAATGTGCTTTGCTTTACCAAAAAAAAAATCATTACCAGTACTGGCACACAGTGCCAACATGTAATATGTTACTGATTTGTCAGCCAGTATTTTGACCCTTAAGCTCTGGAGCATATGGCAGCATGCTTAGACCCAAGGGTGAGATGGAGCTAATCGTTTGCTCTTGATCAAGGGCAAACTAGCTAGCTGGAAAGACACACACACACGCACACATCCTGATATAATTACTCCCAAACTCCCTCATATTGCCCTAGAATACAGTGAGTGCAGAGTCTACTGTGGCTAGTTGAAAATGAAACATATTTTGGAGAGAAATCCTAGAGGAAGAGAAGGTTTGGAAAAAATCAAGGAAGGTATTTTCTGGACAGCTTCAAGTTCAGCACGGTGGTTGAGCAATAGAGATTGGACATCTTAAGTTTTGAAGGTGAAGCAAAGAGTGGGGTAAACAGGAAAAAGAGAACTGAAGTGAAACTGGTGGAGGAAGAATGAAGGAGCAGGAGAAGAGAGATTTTGTAGGATTAAGTGAGGAGTGGATGTTTAGGGTTATGTGCAATGGGATCTAGACAGCAAATTGATTATGGAGCAGAAACACTAATCTGCTGTCTGAGCCCCATATCGCTGCCGTAGCCAGAGCATCCCCACGGGGCCACAATCCTGCACCCATTCACATCTTTCCTGGACTTCTTCATCAATACAATTCCCCGCCTCTCCTCAAGCCTCTTAACATACTGTAGGTACTCCATCCCTGCCAAGATTTGTCCTCGTCTGAATATAAATCTTGCTTTAGTCCCCCCAGCTCAGCCGTTGCACTGCTGCCTCTACTGTGATGCACTGCAAATTTCACTTTCATTCCACAGCTTTCACCCCCTCATCTCCCTTGCAGCCTGTGTCTCCTTACGTCTTTTATACACATGCTTATAGTTGCCTTGTGTGTGTTTGGCTATTTATTTAAGCATGTACCACATGAATACTTCTAAATGGCATATTGGAACATATTTATTATCTACATTTAATCTAGTTGTTGCAGCCTCTTTGAAAAATGTATATGTGTGTGTTTGTGTGTGTATGTATGTCTACATTGTGTTGACCTTTAGGCCATGGTTGTGAGAACATTTTTATACCCAGTTCAAACTACACGATTTAAGCCCAATAACAGCATTGAAATGGACAAATGGCATTGGGCATGACAGTCGATTGTTTTATCTTATATAGTGTGTCATAGTTAATGACAGCTGATGCTGCATCTGGGACGTTTCACATCATCCCGATGCAGAGTTTAGCATGTCACAGTTTTAAGTTTCCTAACTTCTACGACGCTTTAGAGCGATGCTGGCCAACAGAAGCACAGATCACTAGTCTGTTCACAATATCTTTGGCATGTTGGACTGAACCATATTTATTAAATATCACAGTCATACAGCTAACATTAGCATACTGACTTTCACAGTAAACCATGTGAAGTAGCTACCCTGTCAGTGTGTGCAAGCTATTTTTCAGTTTTACTACCAATAAAACACAGATTTTTTTTATTTATTTTTTTTTACTGCTACCTCAAGTTCTCTGTGAAGGATAGACAACACACAGGCTCCCCTCTTCATGCGACCCACAGACAGGTTCACAGACTTTGAACACAAGCAGTCGGTATCACACACGCACCACATAGGCTATTTTGTGTTTACATTCTCTTAGTCCCTGGCTCCTCCAAGCTGTGAACAACAGCAGGCTGTGATTTGTTGGGTACCAACTCGTAGTCTGTCATATCCCTCGTTCAAGAGTGTATGACTATAATCATGTAATCTGACATCGCGGCCATTGTATCAGACAGAAAGGCAGGCTTTAGCCAAACGTTACAATTTCAAAGGACTCTATCAGGGTGAAGACTTGGTTTTAGGGTTAATGATAGAATTTGGTTACAGTTAGTTGTGATGGGTAGGGTAAAGGTCTAGGGAATGCATTATATCAGTGAGTGTCCTCACAAATATAGTAGGATTTGATTTTGCAGTCTGAGTTCTCAGTGTTCACATTGGGCCGAGATACATCAGGAGTCACCATGGCTGCTGATCAGTATAGGAGAGCATCCACAAATGTCTGCAAACACACACAAACGACGGATGTGGAAGAAGGGCTTATTGCTGCACTACTGGTTTAATTCCACAAGCCACTTTAATGTGGTCGCTTGAGAAATGGTGTTAAGTCAGAAATAGATGCAAAGATAGTGAGGCAGTCAATAAGAGAAAAAGAGACACACATAAAGGAATTCCACTCACTAGACTTAAATGTGCTGTGCTTTTGGGTCCTTGGAAGGGTTAGTTTTAGTAGACATGTGGCAGAGTTTCTCTGACTTTTGGATTCTACAACTAAAGGTTTTTAGCTTGGGAGTCGATGTTTAGCCTGAAATACTCAAGTGAGTATTCCAGTCATTTCATCCTTAGCTCTGTGGTTTTAACGACAGTAGGAGTGATCAGTTACAGTTCAAAGCCAGTTGTTGTTTTCTAATTCACAAAGTTGGCCAATACACAGCACCTCAGATTAGGGATTGAGTTTGATTGCATTATATTGAGTTCAGTTCCAAATACACTTATCAAAGGGAGAGCAGTGGGTCAAAATCACTCGGTGTCTCACTTAGTGAAGGTGAACATCCACATGAACACACAAACACAGGAAACGGGGGCTGACAGGGAAGACAAGCAGGTACTTTGTGGTCACAGCTTATGTATCTGCCTGAGGTTGTTGTCCTTCACTGGGTCAAATAGAAGGTTTGTATGAAGCAGGGGGGTGTCGAGCGAGCGTGACAAGAGGGCACAGGGCAGACCTCAGAGATGACGGTATGCATATAGGGAGCTGCATTCCCTGTAATGAAACATTTACACTGTCTGCTACAAATGCAGCCACTAAGGCCCTCTTCCCTTTGTGCCATTGTGTTAATGTCTCTGTGTGTACATGTCTGCATAACTTTGTAAGGACAGTTTAGTTTATCCTCACACTTTCAAAGGGTTGTTTGAGGGTTAAGACTTGGTTAAGGTCTTAAGGTTGGGATTAGGTTTAGGTTAGGGTAAGTAGCTAGGGAATGCATTTTGTTAATGAGTGCCCTCACAAATATGGTAAGACACAACTGTCTGTCGTATCCCTGCAATGTCTCTCTTTCTTGCACTATCTGTCTCTCTCCTTGTCTTTTCTCACCATTGGCCATAACCATTCCACAAGGGTGGATCTGAGGTCCCAAAGGAATGCAAAGCAAACACATGCCAAACTGACAAACAGAGACATGCAGCTAGATGATAAGGGAGTAGAAGAATGCATAATTCATGCCACATTCTCAATGTTCCTCCAGTTTTTTAAGATGTCATTCATTTATGTTTGTGTGTATGTGCATGTCTGCTTGTGGGCACATGGATGCTGTTGACATTAACATGACTCACATGTAACAGTTTTTGGAAGTGTGGGGAGAGCGGTGTCAAAGGAGGTAAAATAAGCAGGTAAGTGCGTGTGTGTGTGTGTGTGTGTGCGTGCACATGCACTGCGTTTAGGTTTGTATTTTGTGATGACTAATGGCAGTTATTTGTTTCTCCTGAAACTTTTCCTGAATACAAATAAGGTAATTTACCTATAAA